GCGTAGGCTGCAGCCTCTGCTGCAGTGGGTTACCATGGGCTGCCATGTGTGGCCTGCAGCCAGCAAGAGCAGCCAGCAGCTGCCATGATTTGCTGTCCAGAAGCCGGCGACTGATCTGCCTCGCCCAGGAAGAGCGCAATGATGGTTCCAACTTGGGCCAGTGAAGCAACGTCCTCCACAACTAGACTGAAGAGCAAAGGGATGGCAACTTGTCTGTTGCCCTTCTCCTAATTCCCCAGCGCTGTTCCCATCCTCCAATTCCCCAATTTAAAAAAAATCTTAAAAATAAAATAAAATAAAATACCTAGGAAAAAATTTAACCATGCAGGTAAAAGACCTCTACTCAGAAAATTACAAGACAGTGAAGAAAGAAATGGAAGAAGATACAAATAAATGGAATAATATACCATACTCATGGATAGGAAGAATTAACATCATTAAAATGTCCATACTACCCACAGTAATCAATAGATTCAATGAAATCTCTATCAAAATACCAATGGCATTTTTCACAGAATGAGAACAAATAATCCTAAAATTGATATGGATCAACAAAATATCCCAAATAGCCACAGCAATCTTGAGATAAAACAAAAGTTGAAGGCATCCTGTTACCTGACATCAAACTATACTACAAGGCTATAGTAATCAAAACAGCATGGCACTGGCATAAAAAACAGACACATACATCAATGGAACAGAATAGAGAGCTCAGAAATAAACCCATGCATATAGGGTCAATTAATCTATGACAAAAGAGGCAAGAATACAGAATGAGGTAAAGACAGTCTAATCAATAAATGGTGTTGGCAAAACTGGACAGATACATGCAAAAAAATGTAACTGGACCACCAGTTTAATAATAAGTTTAAAATGGATTAAATACTTAAGTGTAAGACCTGAAACCTTAAAACTCATAGAAGAAAACAGGCAGTAAACTCTTGGACATTACTCTTAGTAATATTATTTTCTGATATAACTACTTAGGCAAGGTAAACAAAAGAAAAAAAAAGAAATGGGACTACATATAACTAAAAAGATTTGCATAGTAAAGGAAACCATCAACAAAATGAAAAGACAACCTACTGAACTGGAGAAGATATTTGCCAAGGATACATCTGATAAAGGGTTAAAATTTAGAATTTATAAAAAACTCATACAACTCAACACCAAAAACAATCAAATGTAAAAATGGGCAGAGGACCTGAATAAGGCATTTCTCTACAGAGGACATACAGATGGCCAATAGACATATGGAAAGATGCTCAATGTCACTAATCATCAGAAAAATGCAAACTAAAACCACAATGAGATATCACCTCACACCTGTCAGAATGGCTATCATCAATAAATTGACAAACAACAAGTGCTGGCTAGGACATGGAGAAAATATAACCCTCAGGCACTGTGGTGGGATTACAAATTGGTGCAGCCACTTTAGTAAACAGTTTGGAGGTTCCGCAAAAAATTAAAAATAGAACTACCTTCTGACCCAGCAATCCTGCTTCTAGGTATTTAGCCCCCAAAAAAATCCAAAATACTAATTTGAAAAGATATATGCACCCCCATGTTCACTGAAGAGCTATTTACCATAGTCAAGATAAATGCCCATCAGTAGATGACTGGATAATGAAGAATTAATATTATAATATATATATATATATATATAATATTAGTTGGCCATAAAAACGAATGAAATTTTACCATTTATGAGTGGCACAGTTTCAGTTCAGATATACACCAGCCTGACTTCTTAGCCAGGTTTCTCTGACACTGGAGCTGTGTTATTTTCTATTGCACGCTAATGTGTTGTTTCTTTTCTTTTTTTTTTTTAATTTGACACATGTTGGCTTTGTGTTTTCTGAGGTGTAACAGCCATAGTAAACAAAATGTTATTAAAATATCCTCATTCAGGAAAAACTTTGTAAGTAGTATCATGTGCTTATATTTTCAGAAATTTAAGGCTTTAAAGCAATACAGTTAATAGAATAAGAAACATTTCATTCTCCTTAATTCAAAGGAAAATAAAAAAGATAGCTACAAATATGGATTCTAGATGAGGAAACATGAGGTTGAAGAGAGCTCTAGCCTTCAAGCCATCCCAATACTTGTGCATCCCACCCATCAATAAAGCAATAAGATAAGCTCAGGCACTTTTAGTGTTGTTTATGGATAGTATAAAAACTGCCCAAGACCTCTTTTGCTTGTTCTGACTTATTTCCATTCTGACCTATTTCTATCTGGCTCCTGTTTCTTGGTTCTACTTCCTCTTTATTACTTCACTCTTACTCTTTGGGTCAGGAAGTTATTTGGGGTCTTCCTACCTTTATTCTCAGTTCTCAGATGGCCCTATCAGCAATTCTACTTCTGCTCATCTTAATAAGTATTCAACAAAGATCTATTAAATAGCTATTATGTCCCTTCTCCTCCTTTGAATGTCCCCCTACTCTCTTGCATCTGTTTCTTGATTGGATCCTTCCTCTACAAAGCATATAAGCATGCTCAAGATTTGTTCATGAAAACAAAATAAAAATCATAAACAAAAAAATAAAATAATACAGTTAACACCAATGACGAGAACAGATATTTTTCATTACTCAGTGACATAGAGAAAATTCATATATTTTTGTATTTTATCAGTTACTTACCATTTATTACTTAATCCTCTGAATGTTTTCCTTTTAAACAGCCTTATTGACATCCTTCAGTAGATGAATGGATAAAGACGATGTGATACACACACATAATGGAATATTATTCAGCAATAAAAAATAAAATAAAATCTTGCCATTTGTGACAACATGGATACATGGATGATCCTAGAGGATATTATGCTAACTGAAATAGAGAAATATTTCATTTTTATGTGGAATGTAAAGAATAAAACAAATCAACAAACAACATACAAACAGAATTATAGATACAGAGAATAAATTAAAAAGGTGAAGAGATTAAGAAATACAAATTGTTGGCCCGCTGAGTGGTCCAGTTGATTAAGTGTGCGAGCTCTGAGCAACAGGGTTGTCAGTTCGATTCCCACATGCGCCAGTGAGCTGCGCCCAGACTAAGTTGCCGCTGAGCTGCCAACAGGTGGCAGTATAGCTCAGCTGGTGAGAGCACTTGCTCCTAACAATAAGGTTACCAGTTCAACTCCCGCATGGGATGGTGGGCCATGCCCACCAGCAACTAAGATTGAACATGGCACCTTGAGCTGAGCGACCATAAGCTGCTGATGGGTGGCCGGATGGTGACTGGACTTGGAGCTGAGCTAGCCACGCCCTCCACAACTAAGATTGAAGGACAACAACTTAGCTGTTCCCCTTTCCCAGTTCCTCAATAGAATCTTTTTTTTAAAAAAAGAACTACAAATTGTTAGTTACAAAATAGTCATGTGGATGTAAAGTACAGCATAGAGAATATGATCAATAATGTTGCAACAACTATGTATAGTGCCAGGTGGCTACTAAACTAATCAAAGAGGTCACTTCATAAATTATATAAATGTCTTACCACTACACTGTACACCTGAAACTAATATAAAATAATATTCAAAGTCAACTGTCACTGAAAAAACAACCAATTTTTAAAAAAGAATAAAATCATTGTAGGTGTTTTTCCTTCTTTCAGGGTTTTCCATCCTCCAAGCAATTATGGAAGCAGCAGTGCAGAACAACTGGCAAGTGACAGCACGATCGGTGGGAAACATAAAGGACGTCCAAGAATTCAGGCGCATCATTGAAGAAATGGACAGGAGGCAGGAAAAGCGATACTTGATTGACTGCGAAGTCGAAAGGATTAACACAATTTTGGAACAGGTACATTCGAGATTTAGCCCACCATCAGCCAACATTTTAAATTATCAACCTGAGGAAGTCCCCATACCTGCTAATAAATTATCAAACATGACTAAATGTGCCAACAGTTTTTGATAGTCTCCCTAATCCTTTCTTCCTTCCCCAATGGTTGCAGAAAAAGAAAATCTAAGCTGTTGAAAATTGTGTTGCCATGATTAATGTGGGAGTCTCTGTAATTTAATGCCACCTATTAGATAAACACTCTTCCACACCTGTTTCATAGATAGCTGACTCTTTCAAAGTAATCCCCTTCCTTTCCCATACTTTCCTCCCAGCAGGGAAGAGACAAAGGATGAGGCAGGACAGAAAGGTAGCATTTCTATTTCAGGGGCCTAGTTACAGAATATCAGGGCAGTCCTCAATAGGTTTGAAAATTTGAGGATATTTTTGCAGAATATCCCTCTGGTGAAAGAAAGAGGAAGAGTGTAGGGTGAAGCTATGTCTATGTAATTTAAGTCCATTTTTTTAAGATGGCATATGAAAAAAATTGTTCATGGCTTTTAGAATGTAAACAAAGTGAAAAAGATTTACAATGGGGGGAGGAATATGGTTCAGTAGGCCAAAATGTATTAAGCTTAGATATTAAGCTTAGATATTTAAATTTAAGATCAAAAAATATTAATAGAAATATTTTACCCTAAGCCAGAGGGACACTCTGTTTGGAATAAAGTCATAGTGAAATGTGGTGAAAGTTTACAATTTTTCTTAGTAGTTTCATTGCCAGTTAATAACAAAGTACCTGTGTTTTCATAAACAAAACTGTGAGGGAAACATTTCCATTTTAATTTGATCCTTGCATACCTGGGGGGCAAAACAACTTCAGATTTTAAAATTATAATGAGCTGTCATTGCCTGGGAGAGCTGTTTGATAGATAATTAAATATTAACAATTTGTCAGATATGCCTCCATAAGAAGATAATTGGGGAAAAAGGTAAGAAAAGGGAAGGGAAGAAAGGGAAGGAGAGGACAGAGAATGTGCAGGAGGGAGAAAAAAACGGAGGGAGGGGAGGAGCGAGAGACAAAAACTGGAAGGGAAAGAAAGTAAAGGAAAGAAGGAAGGGAGGGAGGAGAGAGAGGGAGGGAGAGAGAGAGAGAGAAATCACTTACTCTGCATTATATATAAAGCTGTCCTTTTCTTAAGAAAACAGCATCATGTCTAGTGAATTACAAAATCTAGAGCATTAGTCTGGCTAAATAAAATTTCACAACTAACATTCTCTTGAGCTATCTAAATGATACACCTCTCCCTTTCACAACAAAACAAAACAAAACACACACACAAAAACTTGCCTTTGATTTTCTTACATCTTGAAAGTGAAGAATCAGGTCAGTGATGTTGGCGTATGTACTAAATGCCCTCTAAAATTTAATACCAAAATAGCCTTTTAATGGGTGACCTACTTAATAGCCTAGAGCAGAGGAACATCCTCTTTGTCGTACTTTGTTTTCCTTTTTTTGTACTAGTGACTTAGGCTTCTTGAATGTCTTACATTCTGTTAAGTCTTTTGGGACCTTATAGTGGAGTCTGGGATTTTTCAGCATACTTTAAAAGAAAAAAAAGTGGATAGAACTCTGAATCCTATATAGCTGTATGATCATGGGCACTTAAATATCTATGATTCAGTTGTCTCATCTATGTAATGGGAAAATAATATTTGCTCTGCATCATATGGTTGGTATAATTGCTTTGAAAGGCATAAAATGCTGTAAAAATTATCATTATTACTAAACACTTTCAGGAAAACTAAAGTAATATTATTCAAAAACCCTGTTCTCTCTTTTCTTATCTCACTTTCTATCTTCCTTTCCTCTGTATGCACACTCACAGTATCTCTCAAAGTACTTTCTCTCCCGTTTTGGGGGGAACATTGTTCAAATAAAAGTTTTAGCAACATACAGGTAAGGCTAGAAGTTAATTTCACTTATATTTTTCCCTTTGAAGAAAATGTCATAAAATTATCAACTCATGATTGTTTTCTACCATTTAAGGAATTTAAGGAATTTCTACTAGACCATAAGTACTTTGACATAAGGGTCATGTTTGGCTTGTTCATTGCTGTATCTACAGTGTCCAACAGAGTACCTGGCTAATAGTGTTGGATGGATAGATGGATGGGTGGATGAATGGATAGATGGATGAATATTGAACAAGCACATTTCAATAAGCTTCACTGTAATTTTGTTATGCTTCCATTCAGAGACAAAATAGTACCTGCAACCACATGATATGATTATTAAAACACACATTTTCTCAAAGGTTTAAGATGATGGCTTTCTGCTCAAGCCTACTCTAATGCTATCACGAATTTGCTAATTTTTTATAAGACTAGATTTCTCATTAAACAAATTGTCTAAATTAAGCAACAAATTCAACATGATATATCTTTAAAGAAAACATTTTTTGTATGAATTTCATACTATAATACAGAGACACCATTTTTTTCATTGGTTCCTAACCATTCTTGGCAAAGTTATAATTCACTATACAGATCCTGGGTTGAAATGATAACACTTATAACTCAATCAGTATTAAGCTTTCTCAAAAGATACCCACATTCTCCAAAAGTGATTTCAACTTCTTTTGAGGTTATTTTCATAGAAGGAAACTTCTATACTCTCCCACAGAATGTCACTTAACGCCACTATTTGAGGTAGAAAAGCCTGTTATACCACTACAACCCTATTCATTATAGATCACATTTTGGCATAAACTAAGTTCATATTGTACACTATATCCAATGAGTGTTAATGAAAAGACCTTAATATTGTGTAAGTTTTTTTTTTTTAAGATTTTTTTATTGGGGAATTGGGGGGATGGGAACAGTGCTGGGGAATTGGGGAAAGGGGAACAGACAAGTTGCTGTCGTT